GCTTGAGAGTTGACAGAAGCCAAGGCACTAGAACTGCTCTGAAGCCATGTTTTGCTACAAACACGGATAATCGCGCGAGCAGAATGCAGCTGCAGACGCCGCCTCAAATTATGTTCCAGCATACCTGACATACCTCAGTCATCCGCAGTGTACACGAAACGGAAAGCAACCCGAATTCGGGCGGTGCTCTGGTGCTGCTTGATTGACGACGTCATAAGACTGTTCTGAAGATTTCGGAATGGCAGACGCCAGCCACTAGCTGTCACGGCAAAGCATCATCTTCCGAAGCACCGGAAGAGAAACTAGTTGCTTAAGTCAATAAACAATAAACTCTGAGTCTCCCAGCAAGCGGGCTGTTTGCGCTGGCGCTTGACATCAAAATCATCTTACCTGCTGCCGGACAGACAGGGATCTGCCAGATCGTCGAAGGAGGCATCAGCTGTGCAGCCCTACTGTGCAGTGGTGACTTGACTTCGAATGGAGAGTACGGCGCAGGGAGTGAACGATGTCAAAGTGTCCCAAGCCTGTCTCGCTTGTCTTTCATCCGAGGTGCGGTCGCTATGTTGCTGTGTGGAATGCTGTGGACATTGCTTGACGCGTTAGTCCTGGCAGGAATCTTGACACGGCCTGTCAAGGGAATACCTAGCACAGCCCCGGAAAAAAAGCGCAAGGACTAATCTATTAGAGAAGCTGCGTTTGCAATATTTTGCGGCACAGAATGGTTCGTGTTGCTTTCCCTTGGCCCTCACGGCATGAGCCCGCATCAATTTTGCCAAGCAGCGGTGAACTCGGGCTCTCACCATGTGCGTACAGACCAAGCCTGCGATCTCATGGGCCCACTAGTCACTAGTGGTGGCGTTGTGGTTGTAGCTTTTAGTCGAGTTCTCGGGTCATGTGGGCTGAGTACGCGGCTGTCCGCTAGAGATTGCCACGCGGCTTGGGTGCCTCTTGAAGTCTGTGGCAACTCCTCGGCAAGCGGCTTTCATGCTGTACAGAGGTGAGGCAATCACTGGGCTGCCACTGTTGGACACTTGCCCCATCTTGTCCCGATGTCCTTGACTGAACGTAAAATTCAGGTTTTTGTTGCTAGCGGCGGTGAAATCTGGTGAGCAAGATGTGAACAAGTAATGCAACGAGAAAGTGTGTGCAATGCCTGAGGTAGACTTCAAGACGTAGGGGCATGTGTCCGCAGATGCCAGCAGACAGCACCTGTCAAAAGGAGTGTTTTATAAATAGGCGGGAACTAGCCATGCCAAGCCCCGAGTTTCTGGAAGTGTTGTGGCGGTTCGTGAGTCGGTCTGGCACTTGAGTGTTGACAAATAACAATAGCACGGGGTTGCTGAATCGCCACTGCACAGACGAAGGATGAGGATTATGAGTTGTGAAAAGCTGGCTTCTGCGCTTGACGCAGAAGCATCTCGTCTGCGAATTGCAGGAGAACCTCAGCTGCAGGAGATCGCCAGAAAAAACCGCTTCTGCGCCAGAATCTGCCAGCTGAGGAGATGCGGGTTTCAGCCCTCAGCTTGGAACGACCCAAGGCACCTTTCTGAGTCTGGGCTGGGCTCTTTAGGATATTCCCCGTGTGCTCGTGAAGGCCCCGAGTTGATCATCGTGGGCCTAGAGAACTGAGTGGGCTAGCATCGCAGACTCCGCCCTGAAACCAGAACAGGACTCTGGATGATAGAAAGAGTGACTACTTGTTACGAACTGCTGGCGGAGCCTGGAGAGTGCGCGAAGCTTCGCACGCTCTGGGAGCCTCTTAGAGTTTAGAGAGCCCCTCATTGCCGCTGAATCGTTGCGACGAGTTGTTTCACGCGTAGCGAATCTGTTTTCGCGACTGGCCCACAGAGAGCACAGTGGCAGCAGATTCTGGAGTTGCCAGCGAGTGGCAGCTGAACGAAGCAGAGGTTGTGCACGACTAGCTTCCGAGCATGTGACGAACGCAAGCGAACAAGTCTGCCTTTGGAAACCCACCAGGGTCACGGAGCTTTGCCAACCATGGCCATGATGGCATCAGGTTCATGGAGCCTTCATGCGATTTGTGGAATGGCTGCTGGGGAAGTCAGTCGGAATGCATCGCAGTGTACAGAAGATGGTACGTACTTATCCTTATCATCGAGAATGAAGAAAGACGGAGACGCAATGGTTGCATGATGCTGCATGTCGGGGCTGGACACATGATGGATACACGATACAAGTTTCATACAAGTTCCCTTAGGGAGAAGAGCCAGCAGCGACAAGCTCAGTCAGCCTGATTCTTGCCTTTTGAGTAAAGTTGATGAAATATGACGATGCTGACAGCAGACACGCTAGAAATACAGTCTTACAGTGCGCAAAGGTAGGCGCGGTGGCTTAGCTAGAGTAGAGTGTCCAACCTAGGCTCCAAAGCTTCGCTTCTAGGGCAGTTTGCGGATGGGCACTAGCACACCGAGCATTGTATGGACGATGAGAGCAGCGTTGCCCTGCAGTCGTTCGTGTTTCAGGCTGGGGTTGCGTCACGGGCACAGGGGTGACTTAGTCAAGGATGGATGCGACAGCAGGGCCGTCATTTCGATCCATCCTCCTCTTCCTTGCTGAAGGGTCTTGTATCAATTTCGCTCAGTGCTACATGTGGCGACAACGTAGCTGCATTCGTTCATCGAGGCTTCACAAGGGTCACGGGCTTAAGTGTGCTTTTAAGCGATGGTTGTTTTCTGGGCGATGCAGTCACATGCAGGTTGCAGAGCTTCGAAAAGGCAGCAAAGCGGCACAAGACAGGCTTTCACAAGCCTTGCGGGCGAAGGATGTGGATTCCTCGGCTATCGCATTCCGTTGTGATGGACCAATCATGTGTTGCATCAAGAGACGCACTGTCACATGTTTTCGAAAGGTGCATGCGTGTAGATGCCTTCCGAGGGATGTGGGTTTTGGCGCAGCAGGTCGCAAGCCGTCATCAAAGGCTTCAGGGCATGTGGATCTGTCGAGTTTCTTTTGCTAGCACTGCATGTCTGGTTTCGAGCACCCGAGATTCCACCTGTCGGAGATCACGTGAGTGTTCTGGGGAAAGAAAGAGACATGACTAAACAGAGAACAACAACAGTTCTCCCGTGCTCCTAGATATTCGTGCCTCCGGTGCTCAAGATGCTCATTCACTGATCCTGCTGGTTCAGTTCAGCCTGAACCTTTTTGCAAGGTTTGGCGCCTTTGTGCAGAGGCTTTGCTGGGCTCAGTTGTCATGTCGGAGTAGAATCCAGGTCGTGCCCAACCTTTAAGAGGTGAGATGCATTCTCAGGTAGTTTGACCAGAAGTCGCTTGCAACAAGCTGGACAGCATAGTGTCGGCACAGACACTTCTCATACTTCTCATAACTGCACAACAGACGGAGCCGAGCAAGTGTGTGATCTGGGGGGGGGGGGGGGGGGGNNGGCAGGAACACGGCAAAAAAGGCCCAGTGTACGCAACTGTTGGAGGCATTGTCGAGGGAGAGGCTGAGCTTCGATGGAGAAGTCGACTCCTTCGTGAAGGTTTTTTGTGCCAAGAGCTCGACCTTCCTCCATTCGAGTTCGGAGTTCTCCTTAGATTTGTCCCATGCGATGCGAGGCATCGCGGCTGGCCAATTTGGCACGACGCCTGCCTGCCTGGTGTCCGAAGGTCAGGGGTTCGCATGCTTCGCGAGGTTTGCAAATGCAAGCGCCGCTACGCAGGACGAGCTGCAAGGTTTTCGCGAAGCCATGCTGCTGCTGTGTCAAGATCAGTCCGAGCCCCAGAAGATGCTCAGCGCCTCTGTGACGCTCGGAGCATCAGGACTCGTCTAACTCCTCTGTGGCGCCCTGAGCTTCCACCGGCCGAAGCGTTATATGGCCGAGTCTGTCGGAAGACGGGCACTTGGGATGATGGGAAGATGATGCAGTTTGGGCTGTAGAGTCTTCAATCTTCGGGTCTAGCTTGTCATGGTCCTGAACGGCCAGCTTTCAACATCTTTCAGTTCATTGTGGGTAACAGGACACGCCTCCGCACCACGCGCATGGATACAGGTCGCTCGCGGATGCGGTAGAGTGGCAGCTTTACGGGCAAGGCCTCGTCAAGCTTCTGCGCAAAAACCACACAACGCTGGGCTCCTCACTTTTCTTACTCCAGGTCTTGTACTGGATTTTGCCAATTCTCCAAACGCGTGGCATGCATGAATTCCACGCATTCCCGAAGGTGAGTCGTGTAGGCCCTGCGAAGCGCGGCAGTTGAAGGTGTCGCCGACGTTCCGGTTCCAAATGCAAAAAAGACATGGTGCCACGACGTGAAACGCGCAATGTGCGTGGCGATATCCCATGTAGATGGCTTGGGTCCGCTCCTGGCCATGCCGACCAAATTCTACCCGAGCTACGCAACGAGGGTACAGATTGCCCGCCACCGCTTTCGACAGAGTGGCAATGCATGGCATCTTCGCTCGCGGTTATAAGGCTCGAATGCCACAACAGCGAGATGTGCCACAGCCCTGGCAAATTGTTTGGACAGTCCCAGAGACATCTCAATTCAATAACGCTCGAACTAAGAGCCTGTGCCCCAGTCCGCACAAGGCTCAGGATTGAGAAGCCGCTGGGCTGGTCAAGTCATGTCAGGTCAGGGGAAGCCCCGTGTACAAAGCATGGCCGCGGCCGTAGCGAGCAGCGAGCAAACCTTGCGTTGACATGCGTTTGGCGCAAACGACCAGATGCCCGGCCGCTGCCGCGGCCGCCTCAACCCGCTGGGTGACCACCGCTTGGCGTGTGCTACGGCCGGTGTCTCATGCCGTCGCCCGTGTCTGTCGGGA